TTGCTCGCTCTTGCTGGCGTGCTCATACGTATTTGAACGAGCTTCATCATTGGCCGTCAAACACTGGATATTTACCGGCATAATGTTTACAGAGGAGGTAAGTGGACATACACATGTGAAAGTCTGTGAAGGAGTCTGTGTAGAGGCGGTCGTTTATTTGTACAGATTCCATGTTAGATTTATTCTCCATACAAACAACAGTCTCGACAGGCACTACTGATGATCTCTGTAAAGTGGAGTGGAGTGAGGAGGACGTCGAGAACGAGCATTTAACATCACTTCCTGGAACTTTGGCGGAAAAACCGACCCAGGTAAAAATTTTATACAGGCAACACAGAGAGACAGTGAACATCTACTTTTTCACATCAGTTAACTGTTCGCTTATTAATGGGGGATAAAAAAATACATGTAAAAAGTTACATATAGAACATTTAAAGAGACACACACACCAAAACGGAGCGTTCTGAGAGAGCTGGTTTATACTGGGTCACAAACCTCCTCTGGTGCTTGATTCATGTTCAATTTTGATCAAAGCACAGCACAGATGTTTCATTTAGACCACAGGGGGACTGTTTGAAAAGGTGGAGAATATGTCCTCTTTAATGTGCAATGTTCATTTTAAATATATCATAAGAAAAAAAAGGATGAAGAGAAACATTGCTCATCATTTATTATCAAATCTCCACATGACTGAAAAAGGATAACTTATTTTTTGAAAGTTAGCAACAACAAAAATTTAAATGATGTAGCCCCCTGTGGGTAATTTAACTAAGGTGCTTGCTCGCCCTCTACTGGCGGCCAAAGTGCATGTCAGTCAGGTCATCTACCTATGAAAATTATTAGGATAAGTGAGCCGATGCCCATCCGAGGAAGGATGGAGGTAGCATACATAATAACAGTTTTAACTCATAGAACACTCATAGTGTCAAAATACCATGCACCATCATTGAACCAGTTAAACCATTTGAGAGCCATCTTCACATTCAGCTCACCTACTGTGGTGTTGTATATGTGCAGCCTAATGTAACTTATCACTTACATGTCTGTTATCATGACTCTCTTAATAATAATAATAAATGAGTGTGCTGGTGGAGGAGCTCAGACAGGTAGGGGGGAGCCAGGTTGTGAAGGGCTTTGTAGGTGAGGATGAGGAGCTTGAAGTTGATACGCTGGGGGATGGGAGCCAGTGGAGGTCATGAAGGATGGGGGTGATGTAGTCTCTGGTGCTGGAGTGTGTGAGGAGACGAGCAGCAGTTCTGGATATATTGAAGTTTCTTGAGTGATTTGGATGGTGAACCGTAGAGGAGACTGTTGCAGTAATCTGGAGGTGATGAATGCGTGGGTGAGGGTCTCGGCAGCTGAAAATGAGTAGGATGAGCGGAGGCAGGCGATGTTACAGAGATGGAAAAAGGCTGTTTTGGTGATTTATTTTAGATGTGTTTGTCGTAGGAGAGGGTTTGGTTGAAGATGACACCAAGGTTACGGATGTGGGGGGAAGGGAGCACTGTAGAGCCATTGATGGTGAGGGAGAAGTTGTTGGTGGATTTGATGATGATGACTTCTGATTTGTCGCAGTTGAGTTTGAGATAGTTGGTTTGGAGCCAAGATTTTATTTCAGTGATGCAGTCAGTGAGGATTGAGTGAGTGGCAGGAGTGATGGCTTTGGTGGTAACAGAGTCAGAAAGGCATTTGACCTTTATGTCGCTGATTTCTGTGATATAAAAAGTTAGAGAACAATCAAACACATGAAAAATATGAAGGTTTAAAATGATGAGAACTCCTCAGGGTGTAATCATATATCTCTCCCCGATGGATGAACACATTTCTGGCATCTTATTTCTGTATTTCGGATTAATATAAATGGATTGAAATCAGCACATATAACTGACATACGGGTTTATAATTTAGCCTTTTTTTTAAATGATTTTCAAAGATCATTCCCAGTAGCCTACATATCTTGTTCTTTACAATCAATGTATTCCTTCAGATTCTGTTTGGAAGAGGACAACTGATGTCTGAAATAGTTTTCAGCCTTTACCACAAAATACAAAAGCATTGCAGAATTCTTCATCATCATTGTTTCACTGTTACAGAGACCTTCAGTGGTATTATCTTCAGAGGACGTAGTTCATAATTATAAATGTATGGACACAGCTTTTCAGTGAACGTGTGTGTGAAGGTGTGTATGTGTGTGTTAGTGTCAGGATCAGAGAATGACAGCTTTCCTCTGTCCCAGTCCAGATTCACTCTGATTCTCTGAGTTCATCCTCTCACTGACAGTTCGGTGTGTTTACCTGATGGGGTTTCTGCTCTGTATATTTCCCCATAAAACCCATTCTCCATAATCCAGAATATATGTCTCTCTTCCTGACTGATGACTCCTCACACACAGCAACTTCCCACTTTGTGTTCTGTCCAACCTCGACGTCCCAGCTGTGAGTCCCTGAGTTGAAGCCTTTAGAGCTCAGGACAGACCAGCTGTCATCAATCCTCTCTGGATTATCAGGAAGCTGCTGCTCCTCTCCTCGTCTCACTCGGGTCAGATCTTCAGACAGGATGAGGTCTGGACCAGCAGAGTTTGGGTCCAGAATCACAGGACTGTAGGAGACCATGTTCATCTTGTTCCAGATGTGGAAGCTCAGGTTGCCCAGGTGTTTGGTCACATCTATCAGAGCTCCTGAGGGCAGCTGTGGATCCTCCAGCAGGGGGCGCTGCTGGACTCTTTCCATTGCAGCCTTGTAGTTTTTCAGGAATGAGAGGTCTGCAGCTCTCAGCTTGTCCTCTGAGGCTCTGACTGTTTGTGAAAGAGCTGCTATCTCTGTGCTCAGAACCTCAATCTCCTCCTTCAACCTCTGACTCTTCTGCTTCTCTTCCTCCTTCAGTGTAGAGATTCTGGCCTCCTCTTCCTTATCTAGAAACTGGTGAAGTTTCTTAAACTGTTCCTTTATCTGCCTCTCTGTGTTTGCAGCCTGGACCTTGATGTGTTTTCCTGTTTCATCCCAGACTTTTTTGATTTTATCATATCCCTCCAATTTGTCCTTTAAGGGCTTCAGTGATTCCTGGAGCTTGTCCCTGAGATCTTGTGCAGCTTCATCGATGGGTCTGAATGTGTGGTTGGTATGTTGTTTGGAGTCTCTGCAGACAAGACACGCTGGCTGCTGATGATCCAGACAGAACAGTCTGAGTTTCTCAGAGTGCAGACTGCAGAGATCCTCAGAGTCTGATGAAGCTCTTTGATCTCTCTGCAGTAAGAAGGCCTCACACATGTTCTTTAATGCCAAGTTAATAGGTGGTTCTGACCTTGAAGATCTTTTACTACAGACTGGACACTCCTGGGCCTGCTTCTCTCTCCACCATCTCTGTAGACAGGCTTTACAGAAGCTGTGGCTACATGACAGAATCACAGGATGTTTGAAGATGTCACAGCAGACAGAACAGCACAGATCCTCCTCTGAACAAGAAGCCATTTTTCTCTGAATGAAGCAAAACTCCCGACAGGTATGGACAGTTTAAACAGCACAAACAGGTCAGACTGCTGAGGTTCCTTTCCCTCGTCCACAGAGTCTCCTGTTACTTAATTTGACTCTTGTTTTTCTGAAGCTTCTTACAGAGTTCAGTCAGTAACTGGTTAAAGTGGCAGTATTTCAGTATTCCCAGTATTCCCTCCTGAAGCTGTTGTCTCTCTGTGGAAGTTGTCTCTTTTATTTCTCACAGTGAAAGTTATCGTCCGTGTGTGTGTTTCAGTGTGTGTGTGTTCACGGAGAGAGGAAGCGTCTGTTTCCTGGTTTGTCTGTGTTGAGTCATACAGGGTGGAGCTGTGTTTGTTTGTTTCTAGTTTTAAAGTCTGATTGGATAATAATGTTGAAGCATTAAAGACACAGTGGTATGAGTTAAAATGACAGTTGTCTTCTTTGGTTCTTCAACAGATAAACACAAATATCAAAAGCTGAGGGTTCAACTCATTTACTGCCAATTGGATCATTTCACAAAGTTTCAATAGCACTTTATCTTTTGAGATTGTTTTCAGCACATCCAGGAAAAACTGCTTTCCTTTAATTTAACCTTTGGAGAAAGAATACGTGACACATTTGAATCTTGAAATGACTGTTTATGTGATGTGACTTGAACGCAGCATGACACAGCTGCATACAAAAGCAAGCTGCCGTTTTGAGGCTTGATGATTATGTCTCTGTGACATTTAACCTTCAATATGAATGTTGCAGAAAAGTAATGGGGGACCAAGTGACCCGCCCTCTGTGCCGGGTTCAGAGGTAGTAACAGAGGCTGTACAGGGGAGCACAGCACTGTGTATGTGGGCAGGGGCAGATTTAGTCATTGGGGGGCTATGTAGTGGTTCTCAACTGATGGGTCGGGAGCCAAAAGTGGGTCCCAGAGCCTTTTCCAGTTGGTACTGAATGTGTATCTGAAAAAAAGGGTCATACCCCCACTTGTGAATTTTGAAGTTTTTACGCGTCCTTAAAAATAAAAAGGCGGTTGCTAACAAGTGGCTAAATGAGACTACAGTGGTTCTCGGGGACATTTATTTTATTTAACCTTTATTTAACCAGGTAAATAACCCATTGAGATCAGGATCTCTTTCACAAGGGTGACCTGGCCAAGAGGGCAGCAGCTCACATCATAAAAAGCATTACATGATAGAATAGAATATAGAATAGAATTACTTTATTGATCCCAAACTGGGAAATTGTGGCGTTACAGCAGCAGGTTATCCAACACACAATATGAGTAAAAAAAAACAATGTTAGTAAATCTAAACACAATATGATATTAAATACAAAGTAAATAAGTACTAAAAATATAAAAACTAAGAATGTGAATATATACAACCAGGATTTAACTAAGCATTACTAGTCTTAAATTGGAAGATTAAATATGGAAGATTAAATGTAAACGTGCAAGAACAGAGTCATAAATGGTTGTAAATTAAATATGGAAGATTAAATGTAAATGTGCAAAAACAGAGTTTTAAATGGACAGTATTGACATAAGTTAAAGTGCATGAGTGTAGACATATTATAAGCAGAAACTATACAATATAACGGCGAGTAGACAGACAAATGAAGTGAACATGAGTGCAGGGATAATTTGTAAATTTAACATGTGCAGAACAGATTACAGTATGGAGAGACAGATATTATCATGATGACAATTCTCTGCGGTGAGCTGTTGTACAGAGTTATGGCCTTTGGTAAGAAAGATTTCTTGTATCTGTCCTTGTGACAGCGGAGTTGTATCAGTCTGTTGGAGAAGCTGCTCCGCTTTTTGTCCAGTAGGGTGTGCAGAGGGTGATCAGGATTATTCATAATGGATAACAGTTTGTTCAGAGTCCTCCTCTCTGTCAGCTTGCAGCCTATCACAGAGCAGGCCTTCTTAATGAGTTTGTCCAGTCTCTTAGTGTCACCAGCTCCAATGCTGCTCCCCCAGCACACCACAGCAGAGAACAGTGCACTGGCCACAACAGACTGATAGAAGATCTCCAACATCTTGCTGCACACGTTGAACGATCTCAGCTTCCTCAGAAAGTAGAGTCTGCTCATCCTCTTATTGTACACAGCCTGAGTGTTGATCTTCCAGTTCAGTTTGTTGTCTATGTTGACACCCAGGTACCTGTACTCCTCCACCACAGACACATCCTCTCCCAGGATGCACAGCGATGGTCGCTCTGTCCTCTTCCTTCTAAAGTCGATCACCATCTCCCTGGTCTTATCCAAGTTCAGAATCAGGTGATTTCTTTCTGTCCACTCCACAAAGTTATCCACCAGCTCTCTGTACTCCTCCTCTTGCCCATCACTTATACACCCCACCACCGCAGAGTCATCAGAAAACTTCTGCAAGTGGCATGACCTTGAGTTGTACTGAAAGTCAGAGGTGTACAAGGTGAAAAGGAAAGGAAACAGCAAGTCCCCTGTGGAGCTCCTGCACTACTCTCCACCATTCCAGACTGAACACTGCCAAGTTGGACAAACTGTGGTCTGTCTGTCAGGTAGTCAGTAATCCAGGAGATGATGGACGAGTCCATGCCCATCAACTGCAGCTTCTCTTCCAGCAGTTGTGGCTGGATGGTGTTAAATGCACTGGAGAACTCAAAAAAGGTGATTCTCACAGTGCAGCCGTTTCCCTGTGTGAGTGAGCATGCTGCAGCAGGTAGATGATGGCATCGTTCACTCCCAGGTGTGGCTGGTAGGCAAATTGTAGAGGGTCAAGGGATGGTTTCACCTGTGGCCTGAGGTGGGTCAAGACGAGCCTCTCCAACACTTTCATAACATGAGATGTGAGAGCCACTTGTCGATAGTCCTTGAGATAAGATGGTGTCGTCTTCTTTGGGACCGGGACCAAGCAGGACGTTTTCCACAGCACCGGTGTCCTCTCCTGGCTCAGACTCAGGTTGAAGAGGTGTTGCAGAATCTCAGACAGCTGGCAGGCGCAGGTCTTCCGAACCCTTGGGCTGATGCCGTCCGGGCCTGGAGCCTTGCTAATGTTTAGTTTCTCCAGCTGTCTCTTAACCTGGCCAGTTGTTAGAGTCAGGGGGTGCACTCCTGTGGTGCAGGGCCAGAGTCCAAAGAGTTCACCATGGGGGGTTGGGGGGGGGGGAAATACAAAGGGAGGCTGGAAGGTGTGAAGGACAGGGGTGTTGTTTGAGGTGGGAGAGGCAGATGAAGGCTGTGAACTAAACCGATTGAAGAACAGGTTTAGCTCATTCGCCCTCTCCAGGCTGCCAGAATGTTGCCTTTCTCTCCCCTTGAAACCAGTGATTTACCTCGTTCCCGTCCACACATCCTCATGTTGTTCTGATGGAGTTTGGCCTCCAGCTTTCTCCTTTATGAGTCCTTGCACTCCCTCAGCTTTTCCCTCAGATCGTGCTGTATCCTTTTCAGCGCCTCCCTGTTTCCAGACCTGAAGGCTTGTTTCTTTTTGTTGAGAAGGGCTTTCGGGTCACTGGTGATCCAGGGTTTGTTGTTAGGAAAACAACGTACAGTCCGGGTCGGTAAAGCAGTGTTTTAACAGAATTTAATGTATTCTGTGATGCAGTCAGTCATGCTGTTAATGTCCTCTCCATGTGGCTCGCAGAGTACATCCCAGTCTATGGACTCAAAGCAGCCCTGCAGTGCCTCATTGCTCTCCTGTGTCCACCTCCTACCAGTCCTTGTGGTCACAGGCTGCCTTTGGACCAGGGGTATATACTCTGGTGTCAGTAGGACCAGGTTGTGGTCTGATCTGCCCAGGGGGGGAAGGGGGGAAGGGGGGAAGGGCTTCCTTAACGTTAGCATACAGAAGGTCCAGTGTTTTATTTTCTCTAGTTGGACAGTTAACATATTGATGAAAAGTGGGTAGTGTTTTGTCCATTTTCACATGATTAAAGTCCCCAGTAATGGCTACAAAAGCATTTGGATGCTTAGTTTGAAGCTGTGAAACAGTAGAGTAAAGTGCATCACTCGCAGACTCGGAATCAGCTGACTGTGGGATGTAAACAGCTATAACAATGGCGTACATGAATTCCCTGGGCAAGTAATAGGGGCGCATTCCAACAGCTAACAGTTCAATGTTAGGGCTGCAGAGACGTTCCTTCACATTAACATGGCCAGGATTACACCATCTCTCACTCACATACAGTGCAATCCCTCTTCTTACTGCTCTTAGTAACGTCCCTGTCAGCCTGAAAAGCCCTGAAGCCGGGTACCGCCACGCTGTGGTCCGGGATGTCTGAGTGCAGCCATGTCTCCGTGAAGCACATAATACTGCACTGGTGGTATTCCCACTGGTGTCGAACAAGCGCGTCGAGTTCGTCCGTCTTATTGCCCAAAGACCTGACGTTCCCCATAATAATCACCGCTGGTACAGAAGGCTTGTGTTTTCTCTTCTTAGCTCGTCTCTTAGCTCCAGCTCGGCGTCGCTTCCTCAGCTCCTCCGGAATTACAGGCCTTGTTCCGGGCAGTAGCACCTTGGAGAGCGCCATCAGCTGATCGCATGTGTAAACAATGCCCTCACTCAGCTGTGCGCTGCTCTCCGTTACAAAGAATGTCCAAAGTAACAGAAAAACAGCGCAAAAAATTCCAAGAGCGAAAGTAGCCATTTCCACTCAATAGAGTAAACTAATACTCAAAAAACACACAGTAAAAACAAATAATAACTAATCAAAAAATACGATATAATGACACGGACAACCGGAGCTGCTGCAACCGGCGGCCACCTCACACAGCACCGGAAGCGGACTGATAAAGAGACAATAAGTTAAGAGAGAACAACTATTTACAATGTGTAAATTGATTTACAGATAAAGTGCAGAATCTTGATCACAGATTTCAATTCAGAAACACAGGCACTGTCCTGTTTTTTATCTTTTAAGATCGAGCCAAAGGCTTCAAGTGAAATGAGATCTGCCATTTTCAAGTCATTTTGTAATTCCATGCGGTGGGAGCAGCAAAACTAAAAGCTCTTTTCCCGAGCTCAGTGCGGACACGAACAGACAGTTTAAAGACATCACAGGAACGCAAGGCATAGTGTTGTGGTTTCCCCCAGTCGTTGATGATTTGCAGATGATGAAGAAAATCTCTGTTGACACTGACTTGCTTTTAAAAAGAATTATTTTATTAGCAAGAAAAGTATCACTGAGCACGTCTGCTCAGGAGAGTCATGAAGCCAATAATGATCTCTGTCGAACACACAGAAACAGTCGTATGTATGCACCAGGAACAACATGTGGACATCTGTTTCTGTTTTCAGGACAACCCCTCTCCATA